ACACTGCACCATAGACTCAACACTGCCCCATAGACTCAGCACTGCCCATAGACTCAGCACTGCACCATCGACTCAGCACTGCACCATAGACTCATCACTGCATCATAGAGTCAACACTGCACCATAGACTCAGCACTGCATCATAGACTCAGCGCTGCATCATAGACTCAACACTGCACCATAGACTCAGCACTGCACCATAGACTCAACACTGCACCATAGACTCAGCACTGCACCATAGACTCAACACTGCACCATAGACTCAACACTGCACCATAGACTTAGCACTGCACTATAGACGCAACACTGCACCATAGACTCAGCACTGCCCATAGTCTCAGCCCTGCACCATAGGCTCAGCACTGCACCATAGACTCAGCACTGCACCATAGACTCAACACTGCACCATAGACTCAACACTGCACCATAGACTTAGCACTGCACTATAGACTCAACACTGCCCCATAGACTCAGCACTGTCCATAGACTCAGCACTGCACCATAGACTCAGCACTGCACCACAGACTGAACACTGCACCATAGACTCAACACTGCACCATAGACTTAGCACTGCACTATAGACTCAACACTGCCCCATAGACTCAGCACTGCCCATAGACTCAGCACTGCACCATAGACTCAGCACTGCACCATAGACTCAGCACTGCACCATAGACTCAGCACTGCACCATAGACTCAGCACTGCACCATAGACTCAACACTGCACCATAGACTCAACACTATGTTAGGGTCGTCGGCCCCCGGGATCTCCTGCCTGCGACCCTGTCCGCGAAGTACCGACGCCCCCAGACTCTCCAGTAGTGTGGGAGCTGCCGCCGCTGCACTCCTCACCGGGCGGGGAAAGGTCGCCGCGCTCCTGTTCCCCCCCTGTGCTGTCCCCCCCCCCGAGTCCGGGTTTCCTGCCGGTGAGGCATCACCCTCGACCGCCCTGGGACCCGCTAGCGCTTCGCCGGCACTCGAACGCGACGCTCCCCGCCCGCGCAGTCCCACGCACCAATCACACGCGGGTAACAGGGGGTTAGAGGTCAGACGGTAAGCGACGTCGTTCATACCCACTCCGGCGATTGGGGGGATTGGATTAAACAGGTTTAAAGGGCTATGCGATGGGCATGCGTGCGAGATGGGTATCCGCTCGCAACGTGGGAGTCCGCAGCCGAGGGTTTGTAGTGCACACACCCCACGCGGCGCCGCTCCACACGCGGCGACCACCGCGAACAGCAAGCGCACCCACGCTTCCACTCTCTTTCCACACCCTCGCAAAAACCACACCAGTCCGTTATTTAATCGCCGACGATTTATTCCACCGGGTCGGCGAGCCCTTATTTAACCGAGTCAGTCGGGATCAGCGGGGCAGGACCAATCTATCTCTCGATAGTCGGCACTATACTCTACCTGTCCTTCTCCCCTTAACCCTCTCAGGTTTTCTTTTTAAGCTAAGTCCCAACTCCCTCTTTCTCTCCCTCCCTTACTCACGGTTCATCGTCACTGTCGGCTGGTCCTCGCGGCGCGTCGATACGTCCCACGGACGTTCGCGCGGCTGGACTTGGGAGTTGACGGGCCTGGGGTTGACTCGAGTAGCCAGAGAGCTTTTTCCCTTCGCCCTGACCCGCTTTATTCTTTCTACATCAAAGGGGCTACCTGGTGCCGACTCGCGGGCCAATCAGCTCGCTGGGATCACCCGCCAATCGGTAGGCCCATCTGTATCCCAGCATCCCCCGGGCCGTTGCTTTCAGCGACGTCCGCATCTAAATTTACCTGCTCAGCGGCCATCCAACCAGAGGGCGACCCTGCTTTCCCGCCGCTCGTGGCTCCGCCCTCCCCCCTACCTGCCCTGCCGACCCGTGTGCGTGAGGTGCGTACTAACCGCGGTGGCGGGGCAGCCCCGCCGTGAACATGTCATTTCTACTCAAGTCACGGCGCCACGGTGTGTGTTAGCGTCGGAGGAGACCGTCCAATTCCCTGGCCGCAGGAAACCGTGAAGATTATCCCTTTACGAGGGCTTCTGGGTGAAAACCTGTCGGCCAGGGTGTCTCCCCACGCGCTCTAATGGTGGGGGAGTGCGTGCGTGTGTGTTTCGGTGGGGGGGGGGGGGGGGTGAGGTGGAGCAATGTCGGCCTCGCCGCTCGGGGGCGGCGAGATCGCAGGTGGGCCACCCGCCGATCGGCTCCGTGGCGGCGGCATCACAACTGCATCATAGACTCAGCACTGCACCATAGACTCAGCACTGCACCGTAGACTCAACACTGCACCATAGACTCAACACTGCATCATAGACTCAACACTGCCCCATAGACTCAGCACTGCCCATAGACTCAGCACTGCACCATAGACTCAGCACTACATCATAGACTCAACACTGCACCATAGACTCAACACTGCCCCATAGACTCAGCACTGTACCATAGACTCAGCACGGCACCATAGACTCAACACTGCACCATAGACTCAACACTGCATCATAGACTCAACACTGCCCCATAGACTCAGCACTGCACATAGACTCAGCACTGCACCATAGACTCAGCACTGCACCATAGACTCAGCACTGCATCATAGAGTCAGCACTGCATCATAGACTCAACACTGCACCATAGACTCAGCACTGCACCATAGACTCAGCACAGCACCATAGACTCAGCACTGCACCATAGACTCAGCACTGCCCATAGACTCAGCACTGCACCATAGACTCAGCACTGCACCACAGACTCAGCACTGCACCACAGACTCAACACTGCCCCATAGACTCAGCACTACACCATAGACTCAACACCGCCCCTTAGACTCGACACTACCCAAAGACTCTGAACTGCACCATAGTATAGTAGTATATAATGTAGTGCAGTAGTGTATAATGTAGTGTAGTAGTGTATAATGTAGTATAGTAGTGTATAATGTAGTATAGTAGTACGTAGTGTAGTAGTATATAATCTAGTGTAGTAGTGTATAATGTAGTGTAGTATATAATGTATAGTAGTATTTAATGTAGTATAGCAGTATTTAATGTATAGTAGTGTATAATGTAGTGTAGTGTATAATGTAGTGTAGTAGTATATAATGTAGTGTAGTGCATATAATGTAGTATAGTAGTGTATAATGTAGTATAGTAGTGTAGAATGTAGTATAGTATATAATGTGTTAAATGTAGTATTGTATTTAATGTAGTGTATATAATTTAGTATAGTAGTATATAATGTAGTGTATAATGTAGTGTAGTAGTGTATAGTGTAGTATAGTATTGTGTAATGTAGTGTAGTAGTGTATAATGTAGTTTAGTAGTATATAATGTAGTGTAGTATATAATGTAGTGTAGTAGTGTATAATGTAGTGTAGTAGTGTATAATGTAGTGTAGTAGTGTATAATGTAGTGTAGTAGTGTATAATGTAGTGTATTAGTATATAATGTAGTATAGTAGTATATAATGTAGTGTATTAGTGTATAATGTAGTGTATAATGTAGCGTAGTGTAGTAGTATATAATGTAGTCTAGAAGTGTATGTTGTTTAGTAGTATATAATGTAGTGTAGTAGTGTATAATGTAGTTTAGTAGTATATAATGTAGTGTAGTAGTATATAATGTAGTGTAGTAGTATATAATGTAGTGTTTAATGTAGTGTAGTAGACAGAGCCTCCTGCAAACCCTAGTTGTCAGTCGGGGCAGTTGCTGCGTGTCGTGTGGAGTCTACGTGGAGTGCTTCGTCTTGGCCGTGCATCTACCGCGTCTCACGCCCTCGACTCCACCCTATCCGCGATACGCTGGGACGATCGCTGAGTGGCTTCGCCTGGCTCAGTCTGTCTGGCTCACTCTGTCAGTCTGGCTCACTCAGTCTGTCTGGCTCACTCACTCAGTCTGTCTGGCTCAGTCTGTCTGGCTCACTCAGTCTGTCTGGCTCACTCTGTCTGGCTCACTCAGTCTGTCTGGCTCACTCAGTCAGTCTGTCTGGCTCACTCAGTCTGTCTGGCTCACTCACTCAGTCTGTCTGGCTCAGTCTGTCTGGCTCACTCTGTCTGGCTCACTCAGTCAGTCTCACTCTGTCTGGCTCACTCAGTCAGTCTGTCTGGCTCAGTCTGTCTGGCTCACTCTGTCTGGCTCACTCAGTCTGTCTGGCTCAGTCACTCTGTCTGGCTCACTCAGTCTGTCTGTCTGGCTCAGTCTGTCTGGCTCACTCACTCAGTCTGTCTGGCTCACTCAGTCTGTCTGGCTCACTCACTCAGTCTGTCTGGCTCACTCAGTCTGTCTGTCTGGCTCACTCAGTCTGTCTGGCTCACTCAGTCTGTCTGGCTCAGTCTGTCTGGCTCACTCAGTCTGTCTGTCTGGCTCACTCAGTCTGTCTGGCTCACTCTGTCTGGCTCACTCGCTCAGTCTGTCTGGCTCACTCAGTCTGTCTGGCTCACTCACTCAGTCTGTCTGGCTCACTCAGTCTGGCTCACTCACTCAGTCTGGCTCAGTCTGTCTGGCTCACTCACTCAGTCTGTCTGGCTCACTCACTCAGTCTATCTGGCTCACTCAGTCTGTCTGGCTTACTCTGTCTGTTTGGCTCACTCACTGTCTTTCTGGCTCACTCACTTTGTCTGGCTCACTCAGTCTGTCTGGCTCACTCTGTCTGGCTCACTCAGTCTGGCTCACTCACTCCGTCTGGCTCACTCTGTCTGGCTCACTCTGTCTGGCTCATATTCAGCTACTCACACACTCACCCACTCAATCACCCACCCACCTACTCACCCACCCACTCAGCTACTGACACACTCAGACACCCACCCATTCACCCACCCACTCAGCTACTCACACACTCACCCACTCAATCACCCACCCACCTACCCACTCACCCACCCACTCAGCTACTGACACACTCAGACACCCACCCACTCACCCACCCACTCACTCAGCTGCCCATCCACTCTGCTACTCACACACTCAAAACCACCCACCCACTCATCCACCCATTCACTCAGCTACTCACACACTGAGACAACCACCCATTGACCCACCCACACACTCAACCACCCACCCACACACTCAACCACCCACCCACCCACTCAGCTACTCACTCACCCATGGAGAGCGGCGGCAGCGGCAGCGTCTTGAGACTCTCACTGCGATGGGTTCCTCTTGGGACAGGAGACGTGGCGGTTAAGCAGCAGCAGCAGGAGGAGCAGCAGCAGCAGCAGGAGGAGCAGCAGCAGCAGGAGGAGCAGCAGCAGGAGGAGCAGCAGCAGCAGGAGGTTGTGGAGTCCCCTTCTCTGCGCGTGGAGCCGCTCTTGAAGCGAGAGAAGGAGGAGGTGAAGGAGGAGATGGAGGAGGAGGAGGTGGTGGAGCTGGCCGCTGAGACGTGGCCACCCGTCAAGGTGGAGAGAGCCGACTCTGATGGCGGTGGTGGTGACGGTGGTGGTGAGTGATCTACCCTGACCTGGCGAAGATTTGCGACCGTGAAAATTGTCCGCATCGAAAGATCCCCTTTGACGCGACGCATCGACATTGCCCCGACCACCACTACTACCAATATCACCATCACAACTAATATCACTACTGCCATCACCACTACTAAATACTACTACTACCACTGCTATCACCACTACTACCAATATCACCATCACCACAACTAATATCACTACTGCCATCACCACTACTAAATACTACTACTACCACTGCTATCACCACTACTACCAATATCACCATCACCACAACTAATATCACTACTGCCATCACCACTACTAAATACTACTACTACCACTGCTATCACCACTACTACCACTGCTATCACCACTACTACCAATAACACCATCACCACAACTAATATCACTACTGCCATCACCACTACTAAATACTACTACTACTACCACTGCTATCACCACTGCTACCACTGCTATCACTACTACTACCAATACCACCATCACTACTAATACCACTACTACCATCACCACTACTACTACCACTACTATAACCACTACTATCACCACTACTACCAACACTATCACCACTACTAATACTACTACTGCCACTGCTATCACCACTATCACCACTACTGTGACCACTACTATTACTGCTACTACCACTACTATCACCACTAGTACTACCACTACTAATACCACTACTACCACTATCACCACTACTACCAATATTACCATCACCACAACTAATACCACTACTATCACTGCTATCACCACTACTATGGCCACTAATATTACTACTACTACCACTACTATCACTGCTACTACCACCACTATCACCACTACTACCACTACTTCCACTACTACCACTACTATCACCACTACTACCATGACTACCACTACTACCGCTACTACCGCCACGACTACTACCACCACTACTACCACATACCACTACTACTACCGCCACTACCACTACTACCGCTACTACTGCCACTACTACTACGAGTGCGTTTAACCGAGGACCCGCTGTGCTGTCGTTTTATCGCCTAGGGAATGGCTGCGACGCGCAAGTTCAAGAAGCCCTGCGTACTGCGGGAGATGAGCTTCACAAGGCAGGGGATGAGCTATTTGATGAGGAGGCCGATCTTCATTCCGACGGAGAGGACATTCGCATCAAGGAGGAGCCATCGCAGGAGGAGGGGGAGGAGGGGGAGGACCTACAGAATGTCGCTTCCAGCGGGAGGCCGGGCGAGGCGGCGGTCTCGTGCAGAGGCCCTCCGACTTCACGGCAAGTGGCGGAGATCGAGGTGGTCCTGGAGGGTGAAAGGGGTCGCGGCAAGCTGAGGAATCGCCGGAGAACCCACGACAAGCAGGGGAATAATAATAATAAGAAGAAGAAGTCACACAGGTGCTCCCTGTGCGGAGAGACTTTTGCCGAATTGTCGGACCTCAGGGGGCACGCGAAAGTTCACGCCGACGACAAGCCGCTGCGCTGCGCCGTTTGCGGAAAGGGCTTCGTGGCGGCGAAGTCTCTCCGGTACCACATGATGGGCCACACCGGGGAGAAGCCGCACCGGTGCCCCGTGTGCGGCAAGGCCTTCGCGCAGCGCTCCGCCTTCAACGCCCACGCGAGGGCTCACGCGGGCGAGAAGACGCACCGGTGCGACGTGTGCGGCAGGGCCTTCCTGCACCCGTCGTCCCTCAAGGCGCACGCGAAGGCGACGCACGCCGGGCAGGGTCCCGCCGTGTGCCCCGCGTGCGGCAAGACCTTCCGGAAGGCGTCGACCCTCGCCAGCCACGCCGCGGTGCACGGCGGCGAGAAGCCGTTCGGGTGCCCGAGGTGCGCGAGGGGCTTCGTCCTCTCCTTCTCCCTCAAGAGGCACATGGCGAGCCACGGCGCCGGGGCCAGCGCCTGCCCGCCGCGCGGCCGGACCCCCGGCGACACGCCGTCGCTGCGGGCCCACGTCGGGGTCCACGCCGGCGAGAGGACTCGCCGGTGCTCGCTGTGCGGCGAGGCCTTCGCGCAGCTCTCGGACCTCAGGGTCCACGCCAAGGTCCACGCGGACGAGAAGCCCCTCCGCTGCCCCGTGTGCGGGAGGGGATTCGTCGTCGCCAAGTCCCTCCGGTACCACATGATGAGCCACACGGGGCGCAAGCCGTTCACGTGCTCCGCGTGCGGCAAGGACTTTGCGCAGCTGTCGGCGTTCAACGCTCACGCGAGGACCCACGCGGGAGATTCGCGCAGGTGCGACGCGTGCGGGAAGGACTTCGCCCGTCTGTCGGCGCTCAAGATTCACGAGATGACCCACGCGGGCAGGAGTCCGTACAAGTGCCCGACGTGCGGCAAGGATTTCGTCAACCCGTCGGCTCGCGACAAGCACGCGAGGACGCACAGCGCGGAGAGGCCGCACAAGTGCTTCGTGTGCGGGAGGAGCTTTGTGGAGCTTTCGAACCTCGACTTTCACGTCAAGTGTCTGAACCACTACGGGCCTCTTGGGCCCGGAGCGTGGGCCGTTTAAAACCCCCGGGGGGGGGGGGCTTCGCTCGAACCCAAAAAAAAAAAAACGAGAGCCCCCAGGTAGCCTGAGGCTCTGGAGATTTGAGGGGCTCGGGGGGTGGGGGGACAAGGAAGGGGATCATCTTTGGTTTCTTTCGGTAAAGTCACCACTTGGGTAAAAAAGATAAAGTTAATCAAATCACAACGTTTCGGAGGCAACACTAGCTTCCGTCATCAGATGTAACTAGCACAGCAAACTTACTTGAAGGAGAGCTATTTGTAATAAGAGATTATTATTATTATATAGGGTAAGAGGAGGAGGAGGCGGGGGGAGGAGCCAGGGAGGATAGATGCAGAGTGGGGGAAGGGTTGGGAGATGGGGATAGTAAAGCTCCGCCCCCCCCCTCCTCTTACCCTATATAATAATAATCTCTCATTACAAACAGCTCTCTTTACTTTTTGATTGAAAGCTTTCGTGACTGCAGGGATTCATATTCTTGGTTCTTTCGGTAAAGTCACCACGTTAGAAGGGAAACAATAAAATAATACAAATATAAAACAATAAAATTCTCACGATGTTTCGACTGCAACACAAGCAGCAATCATCATCAGGTGTGAAAACCACAGCAAGAAAATTTGAAAAAAGTAGCGATTTTTTTTTACGTTAGCAACACGGAGAGCGATTTGACAGTTTGTTCAGATGGACGAGTCCATCTACGTTCGGATGGACTCTACGTGACTTTACCGAAAGAACCAAGAATATAGCTCTTTACAGTAAGTTTCTCGGCCTTTTGGCTAAGATCAAGTGTTGTATCTGTTCTTATCAGTTTAATATCTTTACAGTAAGTTTGTTTGTGCTAGTTACATCCGATGAAGGAAGCTAGTGTTGCCTCCGAAACGTCGTGATTTGATTAACTTTATTTTTTTCTACCTACTTGGTGACTTTACCGAACGAAAACAAAGAGTGTGGATCATTGCAGTCGCGTGAAACTTCAAGTCTAGAAGCAAGGGGATGTCTGGGCGCAGACGACAACGGAGATTCTGAAACAAGAGCTCGCGACGCCGGCTGAGGGCTTACGAGTTCATTTGAGACGTCCTGAACCCTGACTTTCCACGGACGTTCATAATCAAGGTTTTTGAGGGTTAGATCGCGTTATTTATGTGTTGTAACCCTCCACCACCCGACACGGCCAATCAGCAAGAAAGTGTCACGTTGACAAAAGACAAAATAGTTCACCGCTTTAGCCCACCGGTGTGTTGAAGAGTGAATCCACAACATTGACAGTTTAAGTAACTGTGACGTTTCGCTGGTAATTACATCCAGCATCATCGGGCAATTCGCCAGAATGGTAAAGCCCTCACTTGCTCCCGGTCTTAAATAGAGCAGCAGGGTGACGTCATCACTTAACTCATATCAGGTGCAGTGATGAGAGGCGGGGGGGGGGTATTGTAATTATATAATCGATTAGTAATCAGTCAATGGTTATGATTAGTAATGAGTTGTAGATTAGTAATCAGTTGTAATGTGTGTTATTGTGATTATATGCTACGTTAGTAATCCGTTAATTAGTATGTGTTTCCCCTATAAGGAATTGTAATATGTATTATTTAATAATACGCTTCCAAGCCGCACTGATTGGCCGTGTCGGGTGGTGGAGGGTTACGACACATTTATAAATAACGCGATGTAACCCAAAAACCTTTATTATGAATATTGGTCGCGAAAGTCTACGTGTTAAACCTTCCACGAACGTTGAGACAATGGGAATAGGCTTCATAAAACCAGGAGTTGTGTGCTCAGATGTTCAAACTCAAAAATGGACACCCCCTCGCAAGCCATCAGGTCTGCGTTAACCACACAACACGGCACTTGTGGCAAAACTTGCAAACAAACACGGCGCTCTCTCATAGTACAGGGTGCTTCGAAAAAATGTAAACACTTTTTTTTATGGGACTATCGTTTTTAGATGTAAAAAGAACGGGATAACACTGCACCGTAACATGATAAACATGTAATGTGAATAGTCTCCCCTTAAATTTAGATTTAAAGCTTTCGTGACTGCAGGGATTCATATTCTTGGTTCTTTCAGTAAAGTCACCATGTAGAAGAGAAACAACAAAATAACAAAAATATAAAATAAAATTCTCACGACGTTTCGACTGCAACACGAGCAGCAATCGTCATCAGGTGTGAAAACCACAGCAAGAAAATTTGAAAAAAGTGGCGTTTTTTTTAACGTCAGCACCACGGTAAGCGTGAACAATCAATTGATTGTTCACGCTTACGGTGGCTTTCAGACCGCATCCATTATTTTCGTTTCCCCCCTCTTCTTTTCCGAACGAAGATGGACTCGTCCATCTGAACAAAACTGTCAAATCGCTCTCCGTGGTGCTGACGTTCAAAATAAACCGCCACTTTTTTTTCAAATTTTCTTGCTGTGGTTTTCACACCTGATGATGACGATTGCTGCTCGTGTTGCGGTCGAAAACGTCGTGAGAATTTTATTGTTTTATATTTGTTATTATTTTATTGTTTCCCTTCTACGCGGCGACTTTACCGAAAGAACCAAGAATAAAGAGTCTCCCCTTGTTCGCCATCGTTGTCCAACGCGTGCCTGGAACCTTCTCCAGGCGGTCCTCCAGAGCCCCGGGGGGAGGGAGCACATTTCTTGTGGTATAGTTGCAAATTGTCCGAAGTGTTAACGTTTTTTTGAAGCGCCCTGTGTATGGCTTTGACTTTGATATTGATTGGTGTATACCAGGGACAAGTTAACATTTTTTTTAAGCGCCCTGTGTATGGCTTTGACTTTGAAATTGATTGGCGTACTCCTGAGACAAGTTAAAACATTTTTGAAGCGCCCTGTGTATGGCATTGACTTTCAAATTGATTGGCGTACACCAGGGACAAGTTAACATTTTTTTTAAGCGCCCTGTGTATGGCATTGACTTTGAAATTGATTGGCGTACACCAGGGACAAGTTAACATTTTTTTGAAGCGCCCTGTGTACGGCACTGACTTTGAAATTGATTGGCGTACACCAGGGACAAGTTAACATTTTTTTGAAGCGCCCTGTGTATGGCATTGACGGCGTACACCAGGGACAAGTTAACATTTTTTTTAAGCGCCCTGTGTATGGCATTGACTTTGAAATTGATTGGCGTACACCAGGGACAAGTTAACATTTTTTTCAAGCGCCCTGTGTATGGCATTGGCTTTGAAATTGATTGGCGTACACCAGGGACAAGTTAACATTTTTTTGAAGCGCCCTGTGTACGGCACTGACTTTGAAATTGATTGGCGTACACCAGGGACAAGTTAACATTTTTTTGAAGCGCCCTGTGTATGGCATTGACGGCGTACACCAGGGACAAGTTAACATTTTTTTTAAGCGCCCTGTGTATGGCATTGACTTTGAAATTGATTGGCGTACACCAGGGACAAGTTAACATTTTTTTCAAGCGCCCTGTGTATGGCATTGACTTTGAAATTGATTGGCGTACACCAGGGACAAGTAAAATTTTTTTTTAAGCGCCCTGTGTATGGCATTGACTTTGAAATTGATTGGCGTACACCAGGGACAAGTTAACATTTTTTCAAGCGCCCTGTGTATGGCGTTGACTTTGAAATTGATTGGTGTACACCAGAGACAAGTTAACATTTTTTTAAGCGCCCTGTGTATGGCATTGACTTTGAAATTGATTGGCGTACACCAGGGACAAGTTAACATTTTTTTTAAGCGCCCTGTGTATGGCATTGACTTTGAAATTGATTGGCGTACACCAGGGACAAGTTAACATTTTTTTGAAGCGCCCTGTGTATGGCATTGACGGCGTACACCAGGGACATGTTAACATTTTTTTGAAGCGCCCTGTGTACGGCACTGACTTTGAAATTGATTGGCGTACACCAGGGACAAGTTAACATTTTTTTTAAGCGCCCTGTGTATGGCATTGGCTTTGAAATTGATTGGCGTACACCAGGGACAAGTTAACATTTTTTTTAAGCGCCCTGTGTATGGCATTGACTTTGAAATTGATTGGCGTACACCAGGGACAAGTTAACATTTTTTTTAAGCGCCCTGTGTATGGCATTGACTTTGAAATTGATTGGCGTACACCAGGGACAAGTTAACATTTTTTTAAGCGCCCTGTGTATGGCATTGACTTTGAAATTGATTGGCGTACACCAGGGTTACAAGCAGCCTTTTGCATGGCCTAAGGCTCACGAGCTGACTTTGTGGCGATGGGGGGGGTGGTGGTGGACTGGATCAAGGGGTTGACTTGGCAGGGGTCAGGGGCCGTCCATAAATGACGTCACGCGATTTTGGACGATTTTTAACCCCCCCACCCCCCCTCGTCACACGGCGTCACAAGTAGTCAGACCCCCCTCCCCCTCAAATATGACGTCACAAAGCTCTGCCCCCCCCCTCCCCAAAAAAAAAACATGCTTCAAATCGCTTTAGGCTATCGTCATTGTAGTGCGTATTTAATGTGGCGCTGCACACTCTGATGTTGTAGGTAGAAAACAATCATCAAAAAAGTCTAATTAAGTAGAACGTGTTGTCTATATTAAGTTGCGCATTTTGACGTGACGTCACATTTCTCAACCCCCCCCCCCCCACGTCACACATCGTCACAAATGTCTGACCCCACTACCACCCCCCCCAGGTGCGTGACGTCATTTATGGACGGCCCCCTTGTGCATCATCGGGTGGCACGGCATCCTGCTATATGGGGGGGTAGTAGTCGGTGTGCATTTTGTACCCAGGGACCGTGAGAGCTGCGAATTGAGGAAAGAGCCCCGCGAACCCGGCGTTCATGGGGATTAGAAAGTGAACGGTGTGCAGGAGGTCGTGGGTTCCATCCCGACCCTGACGACGCCTGCTGCTGTGTATTTGGAGTCTGCGTCTCTAACCCTGTAATCATCATCATCATCATCACGGTGGCTAGGAGATGTTGACTACCTCGCCTGGTGTGCAGGAGGTCGTGGGTTCCATCCCGACCCTGACGACGCCTGCTGCTGTGTATTTGGAGTCTGCGTCTCTCTCCCTGTAATC